TCGGAACTATATTTACTAGTGATGGAAAGTTGGAGGAAGAGATCGACCCCGGCGAATTGGAGTAGCCAGTGGCGTTGTGCGTGAACTAGCCCGTCCCGTTGTGACTAAAGTAGAGCCTCGTCTGAAAACTAAACTCTCGGTGTTCAAGTCGATCTTTATCCCTAAGCTTGCCTACGGTCATTAGTTATTGACCATTGCTGAAATGCTTTGAACCCGGGTACAGGCTGTTGGAATGCTGGAATGCTTACCTGTCGAGTTTCTGGTCTAACGTCTCGACATGATCGGGAGTACTGACATCCAGAAGAGCCTTGATATCAGCCGTTGTTCTTCAGATTGAGAGGTCACAGCTGCGATGATTTGTGGAGTTGTTGCGAATTCCTGCGGAAAGGAGTTCGAGGCAACTACTATTTGCCCAACCTATCGGCAGAAGATCCTTCTTGAGGGCGTCTATCCTGAAGCAAGTGTATCGAAGGATTCTCCACTAGAATATGATTGCTCTCTGCCCGAAACTCAGACGCTGGCATTGTATCGAGAACAATACAGATGCAGTGTATGGCGCATCTGCTTCCGCGGCTCGAAAGGACAAGCGGCCATGAAAATTGATTGATTGATGATTGATTGATTGAGTGGCATCTTCGAGTCCTGCGCAATGCATCAGAATTGAAGTCCAAGCCCAAAAAACCTGATATTTCAAACTTCGGTTTTCAAGTTGTCACTAGTAATACTCATAAAAGTGCTAAAAACGTTGGGTTTGCAGGACTGTCAGCAAGGTGCCAGAGCAAAGTTTCGTTTTTAGTTACAGTTTACTTGAATATACGCATGGTTTAATTTAGTAAAATGCATCACACGTGACATTGCAAACCATGTGTTCGGACTCATTGGTTCCCCGGATGCGATTGACCACTTTTGCATGATAGCTACTTTTTTCATGAAGTCTCCAAAATTTCGCTTGCAACTACGGAAGTGAGAACATTACCTCGAACTTCTCGTCGAATGAGAAAAAAATAATTCTGGCCGGCAGTTATTTTCGTGTTCTATCTCAATCTACTTCTGTGGCGCATTTTATAAGGTAGCAAAGTTGGTATTTTCGTCTGTTTTCTTATTTACCCTCATTCGTTTATTCAAGTGACACATGACTCATCCAAGACCAGATTTCATGGCATGGCGAAGCATACTGTCCCTTGATCGTAGTTGTCAAGAGAAGAATCGGCGTTCGTTGGTTTACATGATGGCGCACTTATGGATGACATCTCTCAGACATTTATGCAATTCAGAGGATCGCCATGCACGAAGAATAAAGGAGCTGCCATTGAGGGATTGCTTGACATCAGTATGGCACCTGTCGAAGGCCGCAAATCCAAGATAATGCGGTTGCGTTGATAAGCGACCCATAGTCCTCTGATACGATTAACGATAAGAGGTATAGCGCTGTAGTATTCAAAGTATATCTTAGAATCTGTCACATTAATGAAGTTACTGATTTCCACTATAGAAAGGTCTTATAGTGAACAACTGTGTATTTGACTCTGCTTAGTGCCTTTCAGAATTTCTGATGAAATCGAAGGAGTTCTGTTTGTTAGTCAACTTTACTTCAGTGGACCCTAAGATGCGCGATAAGGTGGTCGAGCCCTGGCAGTGACGACGAACAAGCACAAACGACAAAGTACGTTGTGAAAAAGCGGATCTCTCTTAGGTTGACCACTGTGTGTGGTCCAAAAAGACTGTTCCCCTTGCTTGGGATCGATCAGACGTCTGACAGAGAATGGAACGACTGACGTTTTGTAATGTTCAGTCAGGCATCTGCAATGAACATCGGATCTTGTGTTTGGTCGGTTCCAAGGGTGCTGTCAGAATCGCTGGCACATCCGATGCGTTGAGTCGGTTGGAACAGAACTGGTCAAAGGAACCGTTGTATTTTTCACGCATCTGGTGAGGATGCACGCAAGCTCGTCAGCGCCGCAGTTACACTGTCGGCCGAGTGGCTTCAATAAGCTCCGGTGGTGAGCTGAGCCAGGTTTTGTTTTTTCCTTGGAGATATCTGGGCTTGCGTTTCACGACGAGATACTGTAGATCATCTCCGCGCTACTTAAACTTCTCGGAACAGCTTGTACACCAGGTGAAACTCATTTGCCTCATTATATGTCACTATCGCGTGACTTAACTTTTCCGGGACGATCACGAAGCGGTAACAAACGAAGTCGTCCAAACCGATAATGTCCTCATCGTCCGTGCGATGTAACCAGGTTTCTTGTAAGTGAATCATGAAAATGCTGCTGAAATGAGGCAAACGCTAAAGGTTGAGTTCAACGAACCTCAGCAGGATGAATCGGCAACTGCTAGAAATTACAGCGGGAAACTACAGACTTCCGGAGGGTGCTCTTTTTACAGCAGTTTGCCATCCACTTCCTCTGCCACGTCTGGTCTTCTAGCTACTTGCACAGCCCGTCAGAGAATGAGTAAAAACGATGCAGGAAGATATCCAGGGAGTGTCACTCTAAATGCGCATGACCTTAACACAAATGATGGCGTCACTGTCATAAGAGGCAAGTGGCTGAGTTTTACGGGAGACTTCAAAAGCAAATGAAATAAAAATTACGGGAT